ATGCAGCCTTGGTGAACATAAGAGAATTACAAATAAATAAAAAATATATTTCAGTACTTCAATTTGTCAATTTGACATCTGGTCAACTCTCAGAAAGCATGTAGTTGAATGTATTATGAGAAATATAGGCCTTTTCACCAAACTGCAGTTTGACATGAATGCCAAACCACATTTTGATTTTTCATTATTAACAAATATGGGGTCAGTTTTTTATTAATAGTTTGATTCAGCTTAGTAATGTTTCTTGAGCAGAAAATCATCACGTTAGAATGATTTCTGAAGGATCATGTGACACTGAAGAGGGGAGTAATGGCTGTTAAATTTTGATTCGCCATTTCAGGAATAAATTACATTTTAAAATGCATTAAAATAGAAAAAAGTTATTTTCAATTGCAATTACTATTTTTACTGTGTTTTTGATCAAATAAATGCAGCCTTGGTGAACATAAGAGAATTACAAATAAATAAAAAATATATTTCAGTACTTCAATTTGTCAATTTGTCAATTTGACATCTGGTCAACTCTCAGAAAGCATGTAGTTGAATGTATTATGAGAAATATAGGCCTTTTCACCAAACTGCAGTTTGAAATGAATGCCAAACCACATTTTGATTTTTCATTATTAACAAATAAATATTATTTTCACATAGTTGGCAGCAGAGGGCACCCCTGGCTCAGATTAGCCTTTTCACTTCTCAATTGTGTGCATCTATAGGACGTCTTATGGCTTCAATGTTTCTCAAATTAATGAGCTATAGGCCCATTTGGGGCAGCACTGAGTTGGAGGTCATAAATGGCTCCTGACATGCTTTTACTAGTACTGATAAGATCCATGTTTCACATCAAAGAGTGCTGTAGTCTACTAATGTGGGATAGGACTGCTGTTTGTCTCCAAGAGCTCAGATGAGAAGACAGCCCCTTGACTGCTTACTGACTGAATGCATGTTAAAGTAGGCTAGTTTGCCCAGAAATTACAGCAGCACTGCAAAATTTACTTTTCTGGTTTTTCAGGTATTGTAAGTGGCAAATTCTTTACTTACAGTCTGTGAGTCAGAACAGCCGGCATTGTAGTCTCTACCAGAGACTACAACTACAATCAATATCTAAATATTCTTAAATAAATAGGCTAGACATTTGCTTGAAAAGAAAACTGGTGTGATATAGGCTATAGGAAGTCTTGTTTTCTGACAGGCTATGTAGGCTACTCAAAATGTAGGCTATACAAATTAAGTGAGCTCTTGCATAAAGCAACTGTTTTTAAGGTTTTTACCTACAAATATTTGTTTCAAAGTCATTCTGATGATACACTGACTTCTAATAATGCTTCTGTTTGTTTCCAACGCTCGAACGAAATTCCACGAAAAAGGCAGATTGTTTTACGACAATGCATGTGGAGCTATCCTCGGTAATTACGACAGGACTTTTAAAAGACAGAGAAAAAAAATCAGCAAAGGAAGTCAGAATAATAAACTTGTTTTAAAAAAATAAGACATTCTTTTTTCTTTCCCAATTGGGAGATTTTTCTTTTCTTTTTTTCCATTCATGAACCGGCCTAATTTTGATAAATGTCTGAGAAAACAAGATTGAATATCTTATGTCATCTTGCTTGTCAGTTAGAAGCCTCTTGATTTTATAATAGATGTAGCCTACTGTAAACAAGACAAAAATGCTAATTAAGAAAATCACTTTTTGCAGAATAATGATCTTGTAGATATTCAATGAAACAACTTAATTTTCAGTCTGGCTTCATAAAACTAGTGTATAGGCACTGAAATGTATGATTAGAGAAACATATTAACTAATCACTAACGTTATATGATGACATGTCAACCGTTAAGAGGTTTTTATCAAATTTGAACATTGTTTACAAACAAAGAATAATAATAATTTCCTGTTTTGGTGATCACAACTCATTCACTTCCAGCCCTTCGGATGCTGAGCACCGCACCCACTGTCAGCAAATTTCCTATTGTCCTTTCACAATGGTCCTACCCCACCCTCCGTCCCGTCCCGCCTGTATTTTGGAGTGCGACACTACCTCTCTCCTCTCTGAGGCGCAGTTCTCTGTCTCACCAGCCGAGAATGAGGCACACTAAAGGCATCATCGTCATCTATACTCCATAAGCTCAGCTGTTATTGTTCAGTCTCCAGAGTAATACAAAAGTTTTTTAATTGTAAAAATGCTGAATTTTTTTTTGTTAGGGTTAGCTTAGGCTACTGTATTTATAACTAGCTTGTAAAAACAACAGAAGTCTATGCAGTGTCTCCAGTTATAGCCTATACCCAAGCAAACGTGTGTGTTGCAAGCGGTTGAGCGGAAACAGTGCTGTTGTCCAAGTCCGTCCCATCTGTTCCTGGGGCGAAGATGCTGCATTTGGACAATAGACAGGTACACTGGGCACACCCAACAGTGCTCGCTGACAGACGGGCAGCGTCCTAATTTAAGAGATTCATTATTCATATATAACACAAACATCACTGACAGGTACATTTGCACTTCTTGAAGCCACAGTAATGCTTTCTCCCACTTCATTATATTGCGTTATATATTCTGCTCTACATCTTTCCAAATAAAATGTTTAAGTCGGCATCCTATTTTAACTGCTGGTTATTTTATTTTAGCGTGAAAACTAAAACCTCTCTCTCTCTATAAACTTTAACAGTACTGTAGCTTTGCAGGTAGGTCTCTTGAAGCATCTTGGAGACGTTGGCACAGTTCTTCTGGATTGAGTCTATCTCAGTTTGTTCTGTTTCTTCATGTTATTCTAGACAGACTGGATAATGATGAGATCAGATCTCTGTGTGGAGCACTGGCTGTTGTCAGACTCCTTGTGCAAACAAAAATCTCACTGGATTATTACAATTAATGGCAAAATGAGTGCTTGGAAAATAAACTGATTATTTCCTACTGACACACTACAGCAAAGATATAAATAACTGACTTAAAACCATTTTTAGCTGGTGAAAATACTAGTGAAAATACCACTGTATACACTCTTAAAAATAAAGGTGCTTCAAAAGGTTCTTCAAGCGATGCCATAGAAGAACCCTTTTTGGTTCCACAAAGAAGCATTCAGTCAAAGGTTCTTTAAAGAACCATCTCTTTCTTACCTTTTTATGATCTGAAGAACCTTTTTTCACCACAAAGAACCTTTTGTGAAACAGAAAGGTTCTTCAGATGTTAAAGGTTCTTTATGGAACCATTTAGACAAAAAGGTTCTTCTATGGCATCGTGAAGCACCTTTATTTTTAAGAGTGTATATGGAATAATTTCACATTAAATAAAGGCAAAGCTAAAAGCTACAGCTAAATTTAAGTTTGATATTTTGCAATTTAGGTCTAAATTATGACTTTCAAATATATTCAATTGTATTTTAAACTTAGAAATTAGAGAAAAAATGTCAGAGTATTTGTATCAGTAGTTGTATCGATAATATAGATTCTGGCCTGATAGCACTTCGTAAAAAGATGCAATTAAATATTATTTATAAATGCCCAGTCATATCATCATTGGCTACGACAATATTCAAAGATGAAAGATGAGCCACAAAGCAGTACATTTAAGAACATTTATTTTCGCATTCAGTATCGAGTACATCTTAAGTGCAAATAGTTAAGAGTCAATGGCTAAAAGAATGAACAACACTTAACATAGTACAAATATTGACAGATTCTAGCTGGCAATCACTCACTGAAGCTTCCTTCTCCTCCCTCTTTTTTGTTTTGTATCATTTAAAAAAAAATATCAATGACAACACCTAAAAACATGAATCTCTGTAGCGGAGTCCTACGAAAAAGAAACATACTGTAATGCTACGAGTGAGCTGACCATATCTAATCAGAACATTGCTAAATAGTTGCGTTTGTGCCCAGATATCATGAACCTCAACAGATCCATGCGTCTAGCTGACAATGACGGTTATGTTAATTATGTTCACAGATATAATGATGGAAGAGGAAAAGCCCCACCCAACGCCCAACACACACAAAAAAGCGTTTTTTTCCCAAGAAGAGAGTGTCACTGGAGAGCAATAAAGCTGGAGAGATCCTTCACGTACTACAGAGATTTTCAGCACAGCTGAGAAAGCACACAAACTTTAAAGATAAAAATAGAATTCATCAGCACTTAAGACTCTTGACTTCATGCACTTTATGAGCAACACATACAAAACAAAAAAAATCACATCTAGTCTTTTTGCCATATTTGAATTATATGTTTCAAGGTTAGTTTTACAATTCATTGAGTAGTTGTACTTCTGACTAGATCCTGATTTGAGAGACAGCACGCTTCGCTTTTCTTCTTTATTTTTTTCTATGGTTACAAGGTGAGGATGGGACTTCTCCTGCACAGCTCAGCCGTTGCTCTAGACGTCACAATGTGTACAAAGTAGAACTATGTTCCAGTGATGTTTATTTGTGTCTGATTTCTGTGTGTGTGTGTGTGTGCTTGTACAAAGAGGAACTCTTGATCATCTTTCAGCTCTCCCAATAATAGGCCATTCAGCGGCTCACAACCTCCTCCAGGGGGCTCTGTGGGGCCTATTCAGCCTTTCGTTTGGCCCCAGGAATCTTCTCCTGGATCCTGTATCAAAAACACACATTCATATGATATGATATTATATTGTATTGTATATTATATTTCAAAAACACACGTTTATATTATATTGTTATACTGTATATTATATATTTTTATTTTGTGTTTTGATTAAATTCATATTTTTATTCAGCAGGGATACATTAAATTGATCAAAAGTGACAGTAAAGACATTTATAATGCTATAAAAAAATACTATTTCAAATAAATGTCTTTCTTTTGAACTTTCCATTTATTAAAGAATCCCAAATAAAAATCACAGTTTTCACAAAAATATTAAACAGTACAACATTCACCACTGACAATAATAAATGTTTCTGAATTACCAAATAAGCATATTAGAATGATTTAGAATTATATTAGAATGATTAGAAGGATCATGTGACACTGAAGACTGGATGTGTGTGTGTGCTTGTACAAAGAGGAACTCTTGATCATCTTTCAGCTCTCCCAATAATAGGCCATTCAGCGGCTCACAACCTCCTCCAGGGGGCTCTGTGGGGCCTATTCAGCCTTTCGTTTGGCCCCAGGAATCTTCTCCTGGATCCTGTATCAAAAACACACATTCATATGATATGATATTATATTGTATTGTATATTATATTTCAAAAACACACGTTTATATTATATTGTTATACTGTATATTATATATTTTTATTTTGTGTTTTGATTAAATTCATATTTTTATTCAGCAGGGATACATTAAATTGATCAAAAGTGACAGTAAAGACATTTATAATGCTATAAAAAAATACTATTTCAAATAAATGTCTTTCTTTTGAACTTTCCATTTATTAAAGAATCCCAAATAAAAATCACAGTTTTCACAAAAATATTAAACAGTACAACATTCACCACTGACAATAATAAATGTTTCTGAATTACCAAATAAGCATATTAGAATGATTTAGAATTATATTAGAATGATTAGAAGGATCATGTGACACTGAAGACTGGAGTAATGGCTGCTGAAAATTCAGCTTTGCCATCACGGGAATAAATGTAATTTTAAAATAAATTAAAATAGAAAAAATTTCTATTAAATTGTAATAATATTTCACAATATTACTGTATTTTTCATTAATATACAGCCTTCGTAAGCACAACATACTTTAAAAAATGTAAGAAATGATTATACTATACTATATTATTTATTATAATATAACATAATATAATATAATATATTATTGTATTGTATTGTATGCTTAAAGGGAGTACTTACTTTCCTACCACAGAGTTGACTTGGGTTCTTATTAGGTTCAGATACTGATCAATCTGTGCCTATAGAGACAGAATGATTTAAAAAGTGAGTCATTGTAGTTATAGTGCTTATGAATTATACATGATTCTGTAGTCATGGTAACAATGGTGCCACTCTGACCTGGTATTTCTCATAGACCACAGGCATCGAGAACATGGACACCACCACTGAAGCAAGATGTAATGCAAATGATAAAAAATCGGACAAAGGAGCGCATAATCAGTAACTGCAGTAGCCTGCATACATCCATTAATAATTCAAATGACAGGTGCATAATATGGAATTAAAAAAAATCACCCATAATAAGAAGAGTGAGTCCATTGAAGAGGGCTCCCAAATAGGTCAGCAACCACATCAGCACTGCAAACTTGAGTCAAACAAACACAACTAGCAGTTCATACACACAAATACTGTATGCAGGTATCATTTGATTTATGATGCTTTTCTGTGCAAGTACAGTGACACACTAAACTAAAAGCTAAACTAAAGGATTGTAGAAGTTCATAAAGTGTTAAACTGCGCAAATATTATACTAATTCTTAATGTACTACTATTATTGTTTATGAAGCTCACAGGTCACCAATTAGCAAACAATTATGCACTCTTATACTCATGATGCATTTCTTATTGATACAAATTTTTTAACTGACAACCTTAAAATTTACAAAGAACATTCGTGAAATACATAGATACCCTAAATTTCAAAATGTTGAGGTCAGTAAGATTTTTTGTTTAAAAAAAAAAGAAATGAATACTTTTATTCAGTAAGGATGCTTTAAATATATCAAAGGTGACTGTAAAGACATTTGCATTGTTATAAAACATTTTCTTTTGAAACTTTATCAAATAATTTTTTTAAAGTATTCCACAAAATAATAAAACTAAGCAGCACAGCTGTTTTCAACATAATAAGAGAAAATTAAAAATGTTACTTCAGCACCAAATCAGCATATTAGAGTGATTTCTGAAGGATCATGTGACACTGAAGACTGGTGTAATGATGCTGAAAATTCAGCTTTGCAAGGAATAAATTAAAATGTTAAATCATTTAAAATGTAACATTAAAATACATTTTTAATTAAATCATTTTAAATTAAGTGTTAAGTGTTTTTACTGTATTTTTGATCAAATAAGTGCAGACTGGGTGAATGTTTAAAAAAAGAAATTAATAAAAATCTTAAAAACATTTGAACAATCTTACCAACCCCAAACTTTTGAACAGTAGTGTACAGCAGTCATGCAATCCACTTAAAGTAATTCCTTTATCATCTCCGATCATTTCTATACTTTCCTATTAAGTATAATTTTAAGGAAAAATTGTCAGCTAACTGAATAACCCCAGTGTAGATTAAATTAAACAGAGGGTCACCTTCAGTGAGTCCACCAGATCCTGCACCAGAAACAGTCTGCGCAGTTCTTTCAGTGTGCTGTTGATATAATACTGGGCGTTTTCTGCGTACTTCTGCATCTGATCATGGGACAGTGACATCTCCACCTCCAGATATGCTCTGCATCCACAATAAAACAATGTTAGTAACTGATTGAGTGACACACACAGTCTGTGCACACACAGCAGGCTTACTTGAAGGGATGTCCCTCGTCTGTTTTCTGCACAGCCTGCAGCACGGACTTGTAGACTCTGAAGCTGATGGTTGCGGAGAGGGTGGCCAGGGCCAGATAGGCCATCACGCTGACCACACTGAACTGCGTCAGAGAGAAGAGCAGCAGCAGTAAACTGCCAAACACAAGCCCACTCTGCTTCAGGTTCCGCCAGTACAGCAACTCCATCACTGGATGAACAGAGAGAGAGAGAGAGAGAAGATCAGGTGGGGTCAAAATCATGCAGATAGGATGTGTGGTAGTGGTTTACAGTAGGCATAAATCTGTTTGTCATTGATTGTTTTAGGATCCACAATTCAGCATCCACAGAATGGCATGACCTATGATGATGTACAAGTAGTGAATCACTCTGAATCAGCGCTGAGTCAGAGATAACACAATTAGAAATGATTACACAAACAGACAAGAGTGAATTCAAAAATATGCCTGGATTCAGCCGGCAGAATGAGACAGAAGGCCTATGTCCAAATATGTGTATGTCCCTGCTTCATTATAGGCAAAAAGAAGTCAAATGAGCAGAATGTCTGAATACTCTTTATTTGTGACAGAACAGGCAAAAATATAGTATCTGCTTCAGATTCTGAAGTGTAAACCAGTGAATACTTTGTTATGCCATAAAACCATGGGAGCAGAGGAGATTATAGGGATAGATCACCCTCATGTCATTCTGATATGACTTTCTTTCTTCTGTGGAACATAAAAGAAGATTTTTGTGGTCAATATAATGGAAGTCAATGGTAACCAAAACAGTTTTATGTTCTACAGAACAAAGTCATACAGGTTTGGAATTACAAAGTTATTCCTTGTGGCTAAGTTGTACTTGTTTATTGTTGATTACCACCAACAGTTTGGACAGGAACCTTTTCTATTCTAACATGACAATGCCTGTGTATAAGGCAAGGTTCAAAAAGAAAAGATTGATTCAGTCAGTGTGGAAGTGTGGAACTTGACTGGTCTGCTGAAAGGCAAGTCCTAATCCCTGCTGAACACCTCTGGTGTGACTTTAAATGCAGACCTTGAGTCAAAAACTCATCTCCAAATACTATATATATATATATATATATATATATATATATATAACAACTATGTTGGCATTACAATATAATTCCTGAAACTCAAAATTTATGAGAACAACTTTACAATTTAATCTAGATTTACTAAACATGGCAAATTAGTGTGAGACTGAAATCCCATAAAAGTGTAAATGGGAGTGTAAACTTCTGCAGTGCCACTATGACCAACACAACAATCTACCAAGAGCAGTGCAAATTAGCATAGGATTGTAAACAAGCAGAGCTGATCATAATCAGGTGTGTGCAATCTACTAACAACACAGGTGCAAAGTGGGTTAAGAAGACATCTTTTTTGGGGTGTTAAATAATGGCACAAATACCAGTAAACGGACTACCGTCAATTTTAGGAGATCCCCTTTAAATACTCTCCTCCCAGACATTTTGTATCTGAAAGGAACACTCCAACAAATGCATAGCCTATGCAATAAGGTCGGCCACAAAAATAACTGTGTCCACGTCTTTTCATCGAATTTTTCTCTGCATGTCTTTAGTAAATCCTGATTTTAAGGCCAAAAGAGGGTTTGCTGATACAAGCTGATATTAGATCTGGTCCTAAGATCCACATTTCAGGCCCTATTTTAGGTAACCTCTATTTTCGAAAAAAAAAGGATGTAATGCTTTTCAGTATTATGAAAAATATTGTTGATTCAACATAACTTCTTTCCCTTTAATTTTTTTGAATTGAACAATAATTGTATTTCAAACCACGTATTTTAAATTCCCTCTGAAAGCAGTCATAGTAGTAGGAGTCATAAGTAGAAAATAGTAGGTTTTTCATCATCTACTGTCAGAGCGATGCCTGTCTTTCCATGTCTGTCTCTGAGTCCTTTCTGCACAATTTCTCGGAAACATTCAATTCTGGCCAAATGACAGCATGGTGGCCATGGCAACAGACTGGAACCAGGTGCACAGATCTGGCAGTGCATGGTGCCTCTTTTCAAATGTTATATAATGTGATGTCCATCTTTAATCTGCCAGACCAAATGTGACAGTAATGCTATAATTGTGTCTGAATCCTAATGTCTGAATGGTACTGAATGGTTTTAATGCAGACCAATAAGCTGGTATAATTTCAGTCTTACAACAGGACTAAAGACAAAGTACACCCTAAAAAATGAGGATTCTGCCATCGTTTACTAACCCTCATGTATGATACGGCTTTTTTTCTTCAGTAGAGCATAAAAGAAGATGATTCGAGAAATGTCTCTTTTTTTTGTTCTTTTGGTAACCTAAATGGTTTGTTACAAACATTCTTCAAAACATTTCCTTTTGTGCTCTGCAGAAGTTTGGAAGAACATGATGGTTTCATTTTTTGGGTGAACTTTGAACTTTGAAGAATGCATAAGGTCATAAGGACAGCGCATAAGTGTTCTTTTTTAAAACATTTTGAATAGGTCTTAAAATTGTTCAATTTAGTCTAGTTTAATCTAATTTTGCTGTACTTGTAAACACTTTTACCTTCATTCTAGCAGATTATTCAGTGTTTTTAAAGTTAAAAATCTGAAAAGCCTTACAAAGTCAAACTAAAACTTTTCTTGCATTGTCAAATTTTTTTTCTGAGCATAATTAGTGTCTTGTCGTACATGCACTTAAGAGTATGTGATTTACCGGTAATTGATCTGCAATCTTTAACTGACATGCCAAAAGATCCAATAGGATTCTATCATAAATAAATGTGGTAACACTTTAGTATAGGGACCAATTCTCACTATTAACTATTTGCTTATTAGCATGCCTATAATAACCTATTGGCTGTTTATTAGTACTTATAAAGCACATATTCTGCATGACCATATTCTACGTCCTTAATCCTACCCAATACCTAAACTTAACAACTACATTACTAACTATTAATAAGCAGCAAATTAGTAGTTTAATTAGCCAAAAGTCATAGTTTATGGTTTGTTAATAGCGAGAATTGGACCTTAAAATAAAGTGTGACTATTAATATATTTAATATCATGCCAAGTTTTTCTTTTCATGTAAGTATATCTTAAGGATTTTTAGGTATTTTACTGAGAAAAGGATTGAAAATAAGCATAAAACAAAATAAGCATAATGTGGAGTTAAGGATGTTGAGATATTCTTTCTGTAAAAAGACAAAAATGCTGATTAAGAAAATTATTATTATTTTGTAATGTCATAAAATTAAATTAAACTAAATACGCAAATGTAGAGATGTTTATGCTTAAAACAAATCTTAATATCTGACCCAAGAAAATGTATCTTAAGGATCTTTAGGTATTTTACTGACAATAAATACATAAATAAATGAATACAAATACTGATGTTACCAGTATTAAAAACCTGAAAGCCTTAAAATCTCAAACAAAAATGTCCTAGCATTGCCAGGTATATATACAGCGATATACATTATGTGATTTAATTGATTTGCAATAACTGACATGCCAACAGACAACTGAGACCAAGGATTCTGTTGTAGTCGCATAACATCAATCCACTGTTTCACCACACCCCTTCCAGACCTCTTCCCTCTGCTCTTTATTTTCCACCCAATTTAAGATGATGCAACATAGTGACTGAACTCAAGAGATTAAAAATTAAGCAGCTTATCTAGCTCATAATTATAACCTGATAGCAGTATGTCCCTGTAATCACAGGTATGTATCTAAGCGGAGCTTCATGGTCTGGACAGAGTCCTGTCATTTTCACTGCCTGAAAACTAGAGCATTATTTTTGGGCTGTGCTAAGTTAGAGCTTTCCCTATGGATCCCAACAACACCTCGGTGGGATTCTTTGTTTGTGTTGGGTGTGGCGGACGCTCCTTTATGCAATATGCAAAGCTTCATGCATCATAATTCTACAGCTCATTATAGCCAACGATCAATATTCAGTTCTTTTCTAAGCATCAGAGTGGGTTAACAAACGTATCTCTATTTATTTTCAGGTGGAAATCGACACACAATAGGACACTTGCTCATTGCGCCCACTCTTTCCCAGCATGCACTGACACATGCTTGTTTATGGGGTCATTACGGTGAGCTTTGTATAAAATGTGTTGGCGTGAAGTTGGCAGTTAAGCTCTGAGATGAAGGGAGCGCGGTCGCCACGGAAACTGAAGAGATGGGTGCAGTGGAGTGAGCAGTGATGCAGTTGCCATAGCGATGGAGCTTGCCCCCCCACCGAGCGCGGCCTGCCAGACGGAGTAATAAGTTGCTGATGAAATGATGGGGGAGGGGAACAGGATGTAACACTGCTATGACAGACACACAAGCAAAGACCCTCTTGCTAAAACACTCCACTGCTGACTACAACATGCTCCTCGTTCATGCAGGACCTTTGCTTTTTATCAAGCTAAAGGACAACCGCTAACAACCGTCCGGTCCTTGGGGGCAAGAATGGCTAAAAATAGCTAGCGCTGTGTGACTGCACTGCAAATCATTTTCTTGATCATTTTTTGTCTTGTTTTCCAGTATATACTTGAGAGGTAAAATTGTGAAAGATGTTAAGACTTGTTTTTAGAGAATATATCGTTATAATAAACATATGTTTATTTTGCATACTGTGTTGGCAAATTGGCATTTTTTCTTATGTTTTTTCTAGTAAATTTAATCAGTGTTGTGCTTAAAAAAACTCTTAATATCTTACTCAATTTTGCTTCTTAAGTAAATTTATCTTATTTCAAGGATGCTTATTTTTACTAGAAAAAAGACAAAATACTGATTATTATTATTATTTATTTTTTTTGCAGTGTAGTAGATCAATTAAATAAATAAATGTAATATCTTACCCAATTTTGCTTTTCAAGTAAATTTATCTTAAATGTAAAGTTTAAGTTTTTTAAGTATTAAGGTAATGAATTAAACAATTAAATAATAATAATAATTAATACTTAATTATTAAGTATGTTAAGATATTTTCAATCTTAAATCTGTATTTTCAAGCTGGGAAAAAACTTGAAAATACAGACATTATCAAACAAAATATATACATTCATGTTGTTTTAAGGATGTTTAGATATTTTTAGTGTAAAAAGACAAAAATACTAATTATGAAAATTACTTTATTATTATTATTTTGTAGTGTGGTAAATAAATGAAATAAGTAATTAAAAATAAACAAGTACATTTTGTGAT